TTTTTACTTCCTTCTATATTCATAACCACCCTTAGCCTTAGGAAAAATTATGCTGCAAAAACTTTTCGTGCGTGGAAACTTTTCACCCATACTTGCTTTTTAAAATTTTTGAATGTTGTATGTTCATATAATTGCACGCAATTATAAGATAAATGTGCATAAAACCGTGTATAAACTGTATGTTATATACTGCACATTTGAATGCTATACCTATCAAATATCTTTTCGGCGGACGGCAGGTGCCATGAAACGGAATCATCCAGGATTACAATGTCATTGTCATTGACATAATATTGTCATTTAATACTTTGGTATACGTATACGCCTTTTTTCGCCTTATAACATAGTCTCATTCACAAACGCCACTATTGTTCTGCCCGCAGTCTTTGCACACAGCCACATACAATCTGACAAGAATATATCTTTGATTACTTTGATATGGCAAACCGTATACAGGCCTTTGATAAGGCACTACAAAGACTGGCCTGACTTAAACACAACATCACCATCGACAAAGCATGTTCACGATCCGTAAATCATATTCACGAACCGTACGGACCGTACGATCCGTAAAGCCATTTTACAGTTCGTACGGACCGTACGATCCGTACGGATCGACAACTTTTCTGGCCTGACTTAAACACCACATCACCATCGACAAAGCATATTCACGATCCGTAAATCATATTCACGAACCGTACAGCCATTTTACAGTTCGTACGGACCGTACGGATTGTGTTCAATGTTTCACCATCTCTACGATCCGTATACGTTCGACAGTATTGGACAACCATCTTAAAAATAGCGGAAGAAAAGCCGTAATTATACTTATTGTTACAATCCATTTAATAAAATGCAACATTTTTTTGTTTTAATGAAAAAATCAGTTATTTTCATGAGAACGATTTGTTATTCCATATCTCAATTTTTTTAATCTCCAATCGCAATAACGTAAAGTATTATTACCCGCGAACCAATGAGTCAAATTTAAGAAACAACCCACTGTTAGAAAGCTGATGAATGGCGACGCTTTAAAATGAATGTAAACTTTAACGTTTTCGTCTATTATTTGTTTAGCAATTTACATTTCAGTCGAGGATTGCGCTTTTTTTGATACACCCTGTATATAATTTCGCTTACCTAAAAAATTCCGCAACAGTCTGTTCATCAGTTTCATCAGTATCATGATGATTCTTTACTGCATGATGAAACAGTCTGTTGCGGAATTTTGAGTTAAGCTAAATTCTACATTTGCTCTATCTTTATGATATTGAGCACTCTTTGCGTTTCGTATACACAAACCTACTATATATAAATATATATATATATATATATATATATATATATATATATATATATATACACACCCTCTGGTTCACAAAATTTGAGTTCGAGAAATTTTGTTTCATTATTCTACATTATAAGGACCCAAGGAAGCTATATATATCAAAAACTGGATACTAATAGCTGTTTTGCAAAATTGAGAGCAAATTCATATCTGTTCAGTTTTTTTTTATACACCCTGTATATATTTGTAAACTCCATGTTTCCAAGAAGATAAATTAAGGATTAAAATACTTAATAGGCCTATATATAGATAAAGTTCGTAAAATGCATGAGCAAAATGACAATAATGAACACCAGCTTGCAAGAAAATTTCAATGTATATTCGCTCAATTTCAAAATATTTAACATGAATTTGATATAAAAATATACAACATTCTCGCACGATGTAGCTTTATAGCTACTCTAAGTTATTTCGTGGGTTTCTGGTCATATATGTGGCTTAATTTTACTTAATTGTTAACATTCTGCAGTCAAAATGCACATTGAATGATATACTTTTAATAAAAATTTTAACTGTATGACGGGAATAAGATATCTTTTAAAATGAAAACAACGAGATTCTCTCTCACATGCATAGGTATATCCATAATAATTATAATGCTATATAAAAAAATGAGAAAAATATTGTCATTGGTTGTCAAATTAATATTCGCCATATTTCAAGTTTTAAAATTAATTAGCAGGATGTATATTGCCCACGCAGCCGTATCACGGCTACAATAACGGCTTTCTTATGATCGCTGATTGTGTATCTGTGCGGGTAACGCGAATACATGCAGTTTATATATATGTTGCTCGGTTTTTGGTCAGTAGCAGTATTCTCGGACAAAATTTGCATGTAACATTAACAATGTAACATTTGCATGTAACAATTTGCATGCCCAACTTATATCGCTTGTGTTCTGGATGGAAAGTGTATGGCCAACCAAATTAGAAAACGTTAGGTTCAAATATATACTCGATATGTCATGAACCTAATTCTGTAATTTTCATCTTTTTCCTTTTATTTCTGGGGCAAGCCCGAATACTTTAAGTAAAAGACAGTCGAAAACAGTTCTGAAAACTGTTGTAGTTTATCCAGAGCTGGCAATACATCCACTAAATCAACGAGTACAATTTATTTTGTCTTTGGAAAATTAATGTTTAGTTAAACAGAGTGAGGTTGAGTTTATATGGTTCATTGTAAGTTTCAGCCTACAGGAACAGGACGTCCGTCATTGTATATATCTAGTAATATTATTATTTGAGGCCAGGGTACACCAAAAGTGCCCTGTTGTCACTCGTAAAACTGGTTTCGTTGGCAACATTATTAATTTGATCTCATTGGCAACAATACGAAAATTGCCAAAATGTCTAAAATAAAAACCAAAGTAGTTACAGAAAATTAACCACAATCTATCAAAAACTGACGAAGAATTAGGAAAAGTTTTTTTTTATTACCATATCTTGTTACATTGGATTGACATAAGAATATCGGGAATTTGCCATTTTGGCATAAAAGTCGATCGAACTAATTAAATGTCAAAGCATTTTTGGAAGATGCAATTTAGAATGCCCAAACTCCTGATATAATCACAGGGCAAGGAAAGGAAAGCAATTAATGCTAACACTACGAGTGATTTTTGAAAAATTTGCCAAAATTGTACAAGCCACCGAGGCTAGGCGAACCCACGATTCAAGAAAATTTAATTCTCGAAGATTTGCCCAAAATCAGAGCACATTTAGCCTGCACTTTTGCCTATATATTTGTCTGCACTGCAGGAATAAAAACCATAAATTGAGGTATAATATCTAAAATGTTGAGATATCTTTCTTGAAAAGCGTTCCCTCATGCTGAATTTGTAAATTTCATAATTCGAAATAGCCTACATTTCTTAATATACTCGCTCGTTTCACTGAATAAGATATGGTTATTGTATACATTTTCAATTGTATGTTCTGTCAATGCATGCAAGCACGTAATACATTTCTATCCACCTGTCATGCAGTTTGAATTAAATCTCTTTAAATGCAAAGTATCTTAAATTTTACAGGCAATATGCACAGTGCTGGCCAGTGCTATAGACAACTATATTTTTAAATTTAGTCATATAGGTAAAATTATATAAAAATAAATGCGTGATTCATCAGTAATTGTTCTGGAAATAAGAATTTGCGGAAACTTCCAAGGGGTAAAGTTTATGATATGCTTATAGTAAAAACAGAAAAAAAGTTGGGGTCACCGAACTCGTTTCGAAGATATGAGAAGCGCAATATGCCACCATTCCTCCCATCTCGCGCAATCTTGCCCGACACTTTTACGAGTCACAATAATTGCTTAACCGTTACTGAATTTTTTAACAAGGATCCTATACTAAGAAATCAATATAAAATAAAAAAGTAGGGTCACGCACATTCTTAAAGAGATATATGCAAGGTTAAATAATTACGCAACATGATATCTTTTGTGTTATAGTTGCATGCACACGGAGACCTAGTCAGAGTTCTGTCATTTTTGCAGGTATATTTTCTGAAGCACGCCTAATCAATGCAGATTGTTTTTCTCTTTGCCCTAACTCTTTTTATCGCTTTACATTGCAGTTCGACCGCATATATTAGTTAGAATTGTTATTTGATATGGGCAATAAAAATGCGCAATGCAAAACTGATAAATCATCTTAAGGTATAATTTTATTTTCTCTTCTTGGATATTAACTTTAATTTCATGTTCTATGTCAAGGCCCTGTCACACTATTGCGTATGATAGAAACGTAGCCTATGAGTTGCGTATGGAAATTATTTCATTTATTTTCATACGCACAAAACAGCCCTTAAAAATACAAAATTGTGCATATACTTACCTTATTGAACCTATGAGTATCGTATGAGTAGCGTATCGCTGGCGTATGCTCAGCATATGAATAGCTTACGAGCAGCATTTGAAATGCGCATGTCTAGTGTACCACTATCATGTTACAAACTTCAAGCCTATATAAGCGGCGGTCTTTCAACATTGCATCATTATTGCAGAAAACGTCCAGCTATCAACATGCCAAACTAGAAGAAGACATCGTCTACCCGTGGCCGAGGAAAAGGGAAGAAGATTCCATCATCATGCTCATCAAAAGCTGATGATCCACCTGTTCATATACCGGCAGATATACTGGAACCACCTGATGATGTACTTGTGATATTACTGAGACACCAAAGTTTTAAACTTAATATAAAGAAAAACCTTATCAAGATTTCTTAAACAAGTAATCCTCTGCAAATGTAAATTTGAACCAATGTTCCATATTGGATTTTTTAGATACTATCATAGCATATTCGTAAACTCAAACCTTTGTAAATATAGCGATATACAGTAGTTAGTAATATTAATTAAGAAGCACTGTAATTAGAGCTGAAAAGCCTCTCGAGGAGCATCTAATAAATTATGTATGTATGTATGTATGTATGTATGTATGTATGTATGTATGTATGTATGTATGTATGTATGTATGTATGTATGTATGTATGTATGTATGTATGTATGTATGTATGTATGTATGTATGTATGTATGTATGTATGTATGTATGTATGTATGTATGTATGTATGTATGTATGTATGTATGTATGTATGTATGTATGTATGTTTCTGAGCACTCAAGGTACCCAACTCTTCCTCTTGAAGGCTCCCGTGAATTATCGGTGTCATCATCTGTATCAATTGATGTCTCCATCTCCTCCCACCTGGCTGAAAACAAGGGGAAGATGAAGAAGAAAAGAGCCAAGAAAAACCCCAGCAACCTCAGCATCGCAGAGGAGGAGCTAATGCTGGAGTTCATTATGAACAATCATGCGCTGTGGAATGTCAAGATGACAGATTACAGGCGGAAGGACAAGAAGGACAAGATCTTGGAAGAGCAAGCCCAGCAGATGTACAAGACAGCTGACACCCTCAAGTGCTGGTTCAGGTCGTTGCGTACACCCACACACGCCTTGACAAGAAAAAGAGCGGTGATAGTGCACCAAACCGGACTGAGAGAAAGCAGTGTATTCTCTCAAAGTTTGTCTTTCTGAAGACTGTCACTCTCCACCGACCAGAGTGTAAGTTGACAACTATTCTATCTTTTCTGCACCTGGTTAATTTGATGATAAATCAATTTGGCATAATTTGTGCATTCATTTTTGCATTCATGTTATTTGTTATGTTAATTTTTGTCTTTGCAGGTGAAGGCAACCATTCAACGACACAGAGGAGACCTTGATGCTGCCGAGAGCGCCTGTACTGACATGCACATTGTCCTGAACTCACTCCTATACCTTCATCTACCCCTTCGTCCTCATTCCTCATGCAAGTGACCTCGGGATCCACACAGCGACGTCCTTGAGTCCCTACAGAGGAGAGTTGATGAATCTGGCACCATCATCAAGGACCTCTCCAAAGCCCAGCAACAGTCCATCACAGCCCGAACTGCCTTTGCCAACTACATTAAAGACAGCCTGCTGACCATGTCCAATTACAAGAAGGCAAGGTCCACCATCAACAGGTACTGTAAACGCTTAATGTCTGTTCCCAAGGGAAATAGTTAGTTTTGTTTTCCCTCGAATCTCAATGTTTCCCTCGACTTTGTCTCGGGAGACATTGAGACTCTCGGGAAAACAAAATAAAATATTAATTCCCTAGGGAGCAGATATTAAATGCATGTATATTATTTGCAAATTAGTATTACAAGCAATGGCCAAAACGCTTTAAGTCGCACAAAGTTGGCTTAAATTGCAACTCATTTTCCTTCAAATTTTCTTAAGTCGCCCTAAGTCGGCACCAACTTAAGGCAACTTCAGAGCCTGTATGGAGTAGATCTATAAGTCAGTTTACAATTTATCGGAAAATTATTAATATCATAGTAATATCCAGCTAACAAACCAGTAATTTTTAATTAAATATATAGTTAGCATGAAACCTCGTTTATGTTGAAGCAAACCACTATGCAAAGATTCTAGATCTTGGTAAATATACATGTTAATCTGAATTCAATGTAATTAAAGAGGTTCGTTGAAATTAAACAACGCCACGAATGTGTGTATTAAGAAATGCATTTTTTAATGGAATTGACAGCGAAATTAATGCTTGCATGCAGAATTATCAATTTGGTATAAAATGAGTCTGTACACTCTTATTTCTATGACTATAGCCTAAGTCATTGAACACGGACTGCTGCTGCAGCACAAAATGTGAAATGAACGGCAAACGACATTATAAATGTGAGATTTATCTCCACATTTCCTATTTATTAACTTCGCTCTACATGTGCAATAATTGTACCATATATATATATATATATATATTATAATATATAATAGATAAATAACAACAGGTTAAAGTTGTCGGGTATAGATATACAGTCAACTAATATAAAAGCTTTAGAGGAGCCATACATGTTTTCAGATTATTTTAATGAATTCGGAGCCAGAACACCTGCAGCAGAACAAATGTATTAGAAAGAAATCCTAAAACATTTGTAATAAAAATGTTTTTTCAATTTTCAATATTTTGATATATTGACACCAAAGGCATTTAACATGTTATATACTAGGCCTATAATTACTGTGCTTAGTGGTTATATTACTACCTGAAGAAAACAAACAGAAACTCGACGTTTTCTTCAGGTAGTATAATAAAAACCACTCAGCACAGCCATTTCACATTGGTACTACCCACACTGGTATACAGACAGTTTTACTATATAATTATATATAGCCGAATTGTTAAAAAATATAATACTGATTATCATGAAGACGGAAGGCAGGACAGCGACAGAGAGCGAACATTTAATTTTAATTGAGCTCCATATCGCTTGAAAACAATCAATAAATTTCGTCTTATATAATATAAAATATAGTGAAAAAAATAAAACGACAAAAAGTATCCGCAAAAATGGAAAAAGAGACATACAATGGTCGTTTCATTCATAGCCTATATACCTAGGTCTACATGTGATATTCTGATTCCAATGAGCACAGCATTTTGCAAACGTACAGGGGATGGACAGAAAAAAGTAGTCCCCATAAAAAATAGTATATCCTGTTCCTTGCAACCATAAGTAAAGAACGTCTTGACCAAATATATGTTTTTGGAGTGAGGTGTTGCGATTGGGCCGGCTCTAAAAAACTTCAATATTTGGTATTTATCACCCACCGCGCCCCCTCCCCTCCCCCCAATTATTAATGACCGGTCCCTAATACTTTGCATTAGTCATCCAGAAATGAACTGCCCAAAGGTTTGAATGAATCGGGAGGAACTGACTGATGTGATGCAGCAAATGTTTGTCAGTTTTCACACGTGTATGTGATAGAACGTTTAACAGATTCGCACATCGGAGAACAAAATCAACTATATATATACTTTTCTGCCGTTGACTTACAACACAGGAAGCCAAGAAAAGACAGTGTTTACATCAAATTGGGTGGCAACGGTTTATTGAAAGATTGCAATATATAGCTTTACCAATTAATATCATAACTTAGTAAAGTGGCTTGGGACACATGTTCGTTATTATAAAAATACTTACTTTACTCCAACACATTCTAGCCATTCAGTACCCTGACGATACGACTGCACACAAGAATTAATTACATTAATTTTATTGGAGATTTACCCCATTCCACTTTTTTGACTAAGTTAGGAATATCAGAACATTGGATCTAAACGTATCTATTTTTCTAATACGCAACTTGAAATCACAAATTTTATTCACACATACACCAGACTAAACAAGTAAGTTCAAAAACGTAACTTTTGTTTAGACTTTCTTTATTTAAGATGGCAGAGAACAGGGTATACCATTTGTTATGGGGGGGGGGGCACTTTTTTTCTACCGCCTCAGTATACACAAACATGTGCAAAAGCCAACATAATATTATTCAGATAATATAAATAGCGTTCTACTGGTTTCTGAACTTGCAGCCAAAAGTGCCGATGTACATGCGTTTGCAAACTGAACTGAAATATACTGGGATTCTGTTAATGCAAATTGAGCTTTCCTAGCTTCATTGTGCTTCCCATTTTCTCAGGATATTTCATTTAATACACAGCAAATTTTTCATTCGCATTTGATGAACGATAATTATCATGTTAACCATTATTACCATTATGAAATAATTTGGAATGTGAGAGAGTGACTTGAGTGGGCTCAAGATTAAAAAATATTCCGTGCCGACTTACAGACGTTTTAAAATCAATTATAGCCTCAAAATCCCTGTTTTTTTCATCAACACTCATAAATGTAACACTCATACATTTCTGTAAAGAACTTACTATAAACTTTTCCAATTTAATGTAATGTGATCAGCTAATAATTTTAAACTAAACAAAAATAATTTTAACGGACGCACAGAGTGATTATGTTAAAAGACACGATCGAGTGTTGTTTGCGTGAGGAGAACCACACTGCATGCGTACCATATATCGTTGCATTTGTCTCTGTTATTCCACTCTGACCTGCTCTATCACAAACATTAAAATGAATATAACTGGAACGCTACCTTCAGATAAACTGCCTAACTTTTTCTTGAAGCCAAATCTTGGCCCCCATGCAGACACATCTGACAAGACACAGATGTTTATAGCATGACTGACTGATTGAGTACTCTTTGCATGTGTAAAAAGACTGGGATTGGCCTTCAAGTTTGGCTTCAAGTTTCTGGTTGGCTGTAGCGTTCCAGTTATATTAATTTCAATGATCACAACCAATGTATTTTTTTGTATGCATATTAATCAGTAGCGCCCACATGATCACAAACCCAGGAAATAACTGATTAAGATAATATTAAGGTACATCTTTCTACATCAATTAAAGCAGGTGCATGCTCATATAATTTCATAGCTCATTTCGCTCATTTACGAGGAGTTTGATTTATAGCTATATTAAATATTTTAATCTATTGCTCCTTGCATGAGACTTATAGAGTTTACAAATATAGTAATAAATATATTTTTAAATTTTTTAACAGCTTTATTAGAAACTAAATATATTACATTAATAACGTACAAATATACAACAAACATGCAGTTCCTAAACGGGAAAATAACGAACGGGCCATAATAGCCCATGCGAGGCTACCTCCCGATTTAACGTCTGTCGACATTTACCACTTAAAGAAAATTAAAAATTAAAAATCGTTTACAGTCGTGCCAATAGAAGCGTTGCGAAAAATGTTGACCAGTTCATTTCCTAACTTCGAGGAGTTCCTCTGAACAATTCCTCAACAATTTGATAAGTTCCTTAAAAAGTTCCTAACTTCCTGTTTCATTGACCAATCAGATTGCTCAAAAATAAAATATAAAATTTGATTGGTCAATGAAACAGGAAGTTAGGAACTTTTTAAGGAACTTATCAAATTGTTGAGGAATCGTTCAGAGGTGTTCCTTTAAGTTAGGAAATGAACTGGTCAACATTTTTCGGAACGCTTCTATTGGCACGACTGTAAAGCAAGTTTACACGCATTCACGCCAATGTGATAGGACCTATGTTAAAATAATTATTTGTAAGCCAGATAAAACGTAATTTGGTGACACCAATCGTAAAAACCCGACCAGTCGTAACGCGTAAACGTGCTTTAACTTCTGTGACAAGCATAATCTCTATTAACAACTGACCAAGTACAGGTCAAATTTGCTTAAAAAACATTCAATAAAAGTTCATTATGATTGATTAAGAACGTTTTCAAAGTGGTGCCACTAGTAAAGCTGCTACATGTGGCAACTTTGCATATAGAGTTCCATATCTTTACAATCCGATTAAAAAATGAGACCTAAAATGTAGTTGTTTTACAATATGGTGTTTTTAGAACAACGGTGGAATTACTATACTAAGACGTGTTCGCCCATGAGTGACAAATGAGACAAAGTCTTCCACATTTAAGTCGTAAAGTTCATGAAAAGCTTTATAGAAGAACATCAAGTCTCTTATTTCTCGATCATAACATAAAGGTAACATATTTAGAATGGATAACCTGTCTCGATACGGAACATCTCCCACCTTAACTTTCAGGATCCATCTAGTGGCACGCCTTTATATTTGTTCTAATTTGATTTTCAGGTTACTTTGGTGAGGAGACCAGACTTCACTTGCGTATAGCATACTTGTGATTTGACAAGGGCCAAATACAGAGTTCTCCTGACATGCACTTGAGTCAAGAAAGGGCAGGTTCTTTTCAGTAGCCCGAGCATTCTATTGGCTTTCGCAGATATTCTTTGAATGTGGGAATCCCATGATAGGCTACTGGTCATTAGTACACCGAGATCTTTTTCTTCTTGTACTTTATTGATAGGAAACAGGTCAAGATGATAGATAAAGGGGATCGGTTGTTTCTTCCTAGTAACTGTCATCGTCTTGCATTTCCACTCGTTAAAAGAAATGTTGTTGTTGCTACTCCAGGTCGACAAATTAGATAGAGCTTGTTGTAAGTGACAAGAATCACCTTCGGAAGTTATTCCTCTGAATGATTTGGTGTCGTCAGCATATAGCACAACTTTCGTTGTCTGTGGCACAGCATTGGGAAGATCGTTTATGAAAATGACAAACAGCAAAGGTCCCAGTGTACTGCCCTGAGGCACAGCAGAAGTCACATGTGTCCAGCCAGAGCATACCCCTTCCATGACAACCCTTTGAGTCCGATTATTAAGATAGTCTCGAAACCAATTGAGAACTATCCCTTTAACCCCCCAAAACTTAAGCTTTTCTATTATTAAATTATGGTCGATGGAGTCGAAGGCTATGGCGAAATCTAAATACAGTATATCTGTTTGGATATTTTTGTCTAGGTTTTGTCCGTTTAAAAGAAGCACTTGTAAGAGTTGAGTTACGCACGAACGATTCCTTACAAACCATGTTGTTTCTCAATAGTCTCAGCACAATTACATAGCAGTAAATCTAGTTTATTATCTGCTTCGTGTGTCTTGCTTTCCATGAATTGATGTAAAAAATTGTCTCCAACAATTCACAAAGCACATTACTACTTGCGTTTCCCCCGATATTAACAGGCGCAGCTTGATCATTCGACCAGTCCAGCATGGGAAAATTGAAATCACCAACGACAACACAACAGTCAGATTCTTGAATACTTTGCAACGATAAGTTAAGGGGCTGAAGAACTTCAGGCAAAGAATCGGGAGGACGTTAAAACGTGTAAAGTAAAAATGATCGACTGTCCGGTCTATATATATAGCATGCGGAATTTCCGTCCCAATCGAGAACTAATTTCGTCTAACGAGAATTTCGTCCAATTAAGGAACTTTCGTACAATGTATTAAAAGAGCCTGTTTAGCTAGCTATAGCTTTTTTCAACGTTTAAACAAATATTTTTCATTAATATAAATTAGTTTTGAAGTGTTTAGAAATTCATGAGCTCCCAAAACTATAATTTCGATTTCAAATATTATCAGTAAATTAAGTGGGTTTTTTTATTAAGCCTATATACTCACATTTTATAAGGAGCTTAGCCACTGTTGAGTGACAAATATAGTTTTAAGTAATATATACAATAAATATTACATTTATTGAAACAAGCACACTTCCGACGTTATTTCAATTAAATCCCTTCATAACTATATATAACTCACATTTATACATGCATGATCATATTTGATGAGATTTTTCGATGAGGAATGATGTATACTATGAAGGTGTTGTTTAAAATTTTAACACTTTGCATCGCAATTTCAACTCAATTTAAATCAGAGTCATCTTCGGAAAGGCAGAATTACTTCAAGAAAATAAAAGAGCGTGGTAAGAATTTATGTTATTTCAAGGCAAGGAGTGACAAAAACATTGGCCTCCTTGGCACTAACAGTGCATCAATGTATATAATAATTACAGGGGTCATGCAGGTGCCCAAATCTAAATGTTCGGATCTACTTAAGCCTATATAAAGCAACGGACAATACCTGTCTCAGCCACCTATATAAACATACAATAAATATATAGGAAACAACATAATCATGGCTGCAACATAATATAAAGTGTTTAGTAGTCGATGTTGACAGCTTTAATATCGAAGAATAAAATGATAATGCAAAGCAAAAAACAGAAAGCGATTGAAGACCGTCTGACCGTGTGGCTCGGTTGGTAGAGCATCGATCTAGTAACTCGAGGGTCGCGGGTTCGGGACCGGGCCGCGACGGGCGAGGTTTTCTGCTTGCGCGCTGTCTGGAATTTATGATATAATACCGAGTAGTAAAAAAATAATATAACACTTGCAGAACTAATATTGTTCGATGCTGAATTATGACATTTAGTAGCTATATATAGTTCATAATTTCCAGTCTTATAATAATGAAAGACAACAAAACTATAGAATCGTCTTTCTAAAGAACGAGTCACGAACAATGATCATTTTTGTTTCTGAAAGCCAATCACAAAACATGATATAATTATAGGTATAGATCTTTACCCCATCTTTAACAACTGGCCTGCAACAATGCTAAATATGTATGCTTTTTATAAGAAGTTGATCTACGTATATATTATTTCCATGATTCAGTCATGGAAATTAATTCGTAGACAAAACAATAATTTTCCAAATGTTTCCCCCTCCCCCCCTTTACAAATGTCAATAGGGAGCTTTAGATTTGACTACGACTACGAGATTTAATCGCGTGCGAGGAAATTACCGTAGTCGTTTTCGTTTCCATTTAAATGTTGCTTTTGTAGCAGTAAACCAACAACGAGAGAAAAAAAAGTTTCATAAACTAAATCTCCTGCAGACTAAAATCCCCTAGAAAACGTGAAAATAAGCCATAACATTAAAAACAGGCCAGATATTTAGTACTAATATATTATTTGCGCCGGATAAACGCTATATAAATGCTACAAATTATTTTTGGTAAACAAAAAAAAAGAACTTTCTTTTTTTTTTTGAAAAGTCGTTGTAAGGACTACGAGATTTCTCCACAATTTCGTACTCAGATGGGCGACGGCTACGACTTTTTCGCGTCAGTACGGGATGGCCTAAGCATACAGCATGCGTTTCGCTTGACGAATCTCGTACTCGTAGTCGTACTGGTAGTCAAATCTAAAGCTCCCTAATGTGTGCATAAGTTCACTGTCAAAGGTATATGTTATAATGAACAATGTGTTTGGGGAGTTGGCCGTGGATATAAACATCTTTAACAACTGGCTTCCAACAATGTTAGGCCTAAATATGTATGCTTTTTATAAGAACATATATTATTATTATTATTATTATTATTATTATTATAACGTATATTATTTCCATGATTGTTGATAGAGCACAAATAATCGTTTCATATAGTCGTATATATATATATATATATATATATATATATATATATATATATATATATATATATATATATATATATATATATATATATATATATATATATATAATATAGTCATTCATCGTACATGAGCTGTTCTACAATCTGATTGGTTGAATTACTCGCTGTATATCAGCTCATATTCGGCGAGTAGCGAAAAACAAGATGGCGGTCCAAAAACTACATGCAGTTTTGCGAAGCAGAAAAAAGGAAAATATTCGCTTTGAGAAAGATAATAGTACAAGGAAAAACTCTCAAAAAAATTTGACAGGCAAAATACATTTATTTCATAGAAATTAGTTTAAATACAAGTTTTTTTAAAGAATTAATACCGAAACAACAGGGAAAAAACATGTAATCAGTTATTTTGAAACTTTAGGCGACTCATTGGCACCTGAAGAAATTATATCCAGCCATAGTGTCTACACTAAAGTCGAATGTTCCTTCAAATGTAATGAAGAAGAAACATGTGGTGGTTACAACTACAGAACGAAATCAAAGAAACATGAAATAAATTGTCAAATCAGCAAGAAATCTAAAGCAAGTGAAAGTGGCAGAAACGGAGAATGGACGTTTTATCAAGATTCTCAAACTGTCCCTCCGGTGAGTATTAAAATACCATAAAATACTTGTCGCATCAGTACGTTTTTCTTCGTTATCATACACAAGTGGTAACCGCGAGTGAACTGTGCTTGGTATCTGCAACAAAAATAGTCGATAGTATATAAAAGATATTCCAAATCAATATACCACTCATGTTAAAAGAGCTATGGAAGCGCGACCTGGGTTATATATAATTATAATTATTTTGAGATTGTAACAGTTTATTTAATACGATCTCGAGCTATTCATGCATTTTTAGGCGAAACTTGGTAGTCTTCGACTGGTTTCAAAAACTGGTATGCAGTGGAAGGTATTATATATTAAGTAAAAGTTTGCGATCAGAGAAACTCTTAAAGTTACTGTTTCGATTATGGTGCGTAATGACCGATTTGATATACGTCAATATACGTGGCTTTTATTCCTTTTAATTTCTTCCAATAAAACCTAATCCGCCGTCTATAGTCGTAGTCATAAACACGTTCCACTTAAACGTGAAATTGTCTAAAACTTTCTTTTGTTTCAGTTTCTCTCTGCATCCAAATTAGCTTATGGTTGTAGAAGTATAGAAATTGTGACCCGTTTCATTGAATCGATTCGATATCAGGCCTATTAGTTCTGTTCACTTAAAGGCGGTTTTCCACTAGGCGAAATTTTTCGATCGAACCGAAATTTCATTGTTCAAATTCAAAAGATTTCTGTTTAGTTCCATCTGAGTGCTTGTAAAGGCGGTTTTCCACTAGGCGAAATTTTTCGACCAAATCGAAATTTCTATTGTTCAAATTCAAAAGATTTCTGTTTAGTTCCATCTGAGTGCTTGTAAGACAAAAGAAAATTTCGATTCGGTTGAAAAATTTCGCCTGGTGGAAAACCGCCTTTTTTTTCGACCGAATCGAAATTTTCTTTTGTCTTAAGGCGGTTTTCCACCAGGCGAAACTTTTCCACAGAATCGAAATTTTCTTTTGTCTTACAAGCACTCAGATGGAACTAAACAGAAATCTTTTGAATTTGAACAATAGAAATTTCGGTTTGGTCGAAAAATTTCGCCTAGTGGAAACCTTCTTCTATACTTAGTATTCTTTATATAAAACCTTCTCCTACTTAGTATTCTTTATAATTATAAAGAATACTAATGAAGTCGCGTTTGAAGCCGTTTAATAAACACATATGCAGTACGTGCTTTATTAGGTCTAAAACCACTCGCACTATATGCGCTCGTGTTTTTAAACCTAACAAAACACTTTTGCTCGTTTATTAAATAGTATACATTGTTTCTAGTTCGACTCGTTTTGGACATGACATTATGTTTATATATATGCAGTATGTAGGTCGATTATATTATATACATTCAAAACTCATTATATAATAGTGTTTTTTTATTAACAAATATTACTCTTTTTTCTACCCTGAACAATCCAAGAAATACTGGACTTTAATTGCACGCTTCTCCAACAGCGACTCTAAACATTGGATTACAGATAGTGCCTTTTGGTATGACAGAGTCACTCCATATGGGGACGCCAGCAACGCATCAGACAATATGGATATGATTTCTGCAGCTTTCTGGAAAACGAAAGGACATGAAATCAAGATTACTAGAAGTGACGATTCGAGTCACACAGCATTATTACAGACCACTTCAAATTGTCTTCAAGGTACGTAGATAAAAAGTGAAAAACTGATAATACAAAGCGAAAAACAGAAAGCCACCTGCCGCTATTCAAAGATAATTTTTTTGTTGTGTTTGTTAAGTTCTATTATTTGCTAAGTCTATTTTTTATTAAGTGTTGCATTAAGCCTGGGGCAATGATTACTTTTAGAAAATATTCTGACTCTGATAAAGGTACAAGTATGTGATAAACAGCTTATCATAATCGGGCGAGGCGATATCAGTTTTATTGCGTTCAGCACGATATCATAAAATGTAATCAGCAAGACTAGATGCATAAGTGTGCCAAGCCTACATATATAGTTTGCCATACAAAACAAATTTGCCGTAAATAAATGTTTTACAAAGTAACTCAAGCTAAGTTTGTCTTTTATTTGCTCTACTTTCGTACACTCTATATTCGTACAATTCGGCACTCAATACACTTATTGACATTCGACAACTTCACTTTGTAGCTCAGTGGTCAGAGCGTGCAGCCTTGTAGCTCAGTGGTCAAAGTTCTGCCTAAAGTTCCATTATTTCCAGATGCTTCTGATTAGGTTTCAAATTGTATATATATATACAGTATATATTATAAAAAATCCCATTTACAGTTATACCGAACGAGTTGCCCTAAATCGTGCTATTTACCAATATACTAAATTCTGGCGTCGGCTTATGAGCATTAATGAGTGGCATTGTGTTTTCAAAGGTGGGACATTCAGATCAAAAATTGCGAGTTACGGAAACTTTCGTAATGGTGCAGTCTGGGCAAGCGATCAGTGTCTTGGAAGTTGTCCAGTAACTTACGGCGGTCAGTATGAAACTACAGCAGGTTTCAAACAACACAATTGCAGCAGTAATTTACAGAATAGTAGCTACATTGGATTTTGGTGTGATTGGAATAATGGTGATGGTGCAGTGATGATGATTGGTGGAGGAGGACGTGGTTGTGTGAGGGCAGACCATGGTATTGGAATAACCGAGAAAAATGCAGCAAAGTTTGGTTCTGGAGAGAATTATGATTTTGGTAATCAGGCAAAAGGCAAGCAACATTCTTCACCGTATTCGCTTAATTTGTGGGTTTGTTAGAATTATTTTTTGTAAATTGTGTGTGTTAGAATTATTTTAGAAATAATGTAATGTAAATTATGTAATGGAATGCAATGCAATGCACTGCAATGTAATGTAAGGTAATGTAATGTAACGTAACGTAACGAAACGTAACGTAACGCAACGCAACGCTACGTTGTGTCATGTCATGTCATGTCATGTTGTGTTGTGTTATACAAATAATGAATGTTTATGAGTGCATGGCAATGGCAATGATAATTTCTCGGGTGGAACTAATTAGAAAAGACAAAGAGAGATTCCGCTCCGCGCGCAAAATTCCGCCCAGTGGAAACCCGGCTTCAGGAATGGAATTTTCTATTCAATATCACGTGACCATAAACAGCCAATTAAAAGATCAGAATTCAATAAGGAATTATATAAAATGTAATGTAACGTAATGTAACGTAATGTAACGTAATAGATAACATGCACAACTCAACGAAAACGAACGTATAGGCTCATTAAACGAACGATCTATTCGTCGAAATGCATAGAAACTGGCCTGCTCATTGGTAGAGACAGCACATCATAAACTATCGTCTGATATTGAACGAATATTCTAATCACATACCGTTCCACGTAAGAAACGAGCTAATTCTCATTGGTTGAGACAGCTGACAGCACATCATGAATTTGCGACTGGTGTTACACAGCGGACGGACTTATACTCGCAAGGACAATACAATTATAAGTTGTTCAACATCCATTGTCAAATATTCAATATTTTAGAAAGGACTCATGTTAAACTACAAGACAAATGTTCACAATGACAGCCAGGCATTGCTGTAATTCGTTGAAAAAGTCCGGACCATTAATTAAACTCACAACTCACAAAGTTAGGAAACAAAACTCCCTCAATACGTGGAGTTGGGATGTTCGATTGGGCACCAGTTATTGCAAGGAATAATAATTTATAGAAACGCTGAAGTAACAGATTAACGGTTAACAATTAATGCATGGTTTACTTCGTTATTTAAGCTGAGATACCTTTCTTCCTCTAACAATTATTCAATATTCCCACTCAGTACACACAAATAAACGGAAAATAAAAGATTAAGTACAACAGATAAAAATTGTGGAGCGGTTGCAATCTCATGTAACTCGTCCATCGTGGCTACGGTTGAAAGGCATAAAGCAATTATACTTGCATTTAATATTTCCATAAAGGCAAGGATGAAAAGTGCAATTTGCATCGCTATTCACTGTTCATGCAGAGAATGTCAAAAAGTATGTGTATGCCTAAAACAAAATAACATATCCCAAAGACTATATATTAAAACTTCGGTATAGTTTTTATTCAATTTATAGCCATTTGCTAAACAATAACTACGTTTTGATATGTGCATGTTTAATTGTAATCTTGACATATAAAATAAGCTATCCTTATTAAAATAACTGAATATTCGTTCGTTTTCGTTGAGTTGTGCATGTTAACTATTGTAACGTAATTAATAATATACATAAAGATATTACTCGACTGTGATTGGTTGATTTCAGTGCAGTTAATCCCAAACAGCAGTGCAATTTTCTGTAATCACAGTGCAATTTTCTGTAATCACAGTGCCATTTTTTGTAATCACAGTGCAATTTTCTGTAATCACAGTGCCAAAATCTGTAACAAACTGATCTGATTGGTGGAAAAACATTGTGATGATTAAATCAACCAATCAGTTTAAAGCAGTTTACTTTTTAAGAAGTAACGGTCACAGATTGCTTCAAAACAAAACAAACATGGCGCCGCGCTACACAAAGTAAAAGTTGCCTTAATATGTTGCTAAAATATGGCTTTTATCTTTATTTTTAAATGGAAAAGCATTTACCTTAAACAAGACTAACAATATTATACACAGTTGAGTGGAATTTTCAAGCTGTTAGCGTTGTATAATGTGATAAAACAAAGCCAGGAAAACTTTGCCAGTGGAATGTTCGCTATAAACGCGTAAGTTAAAACTACAATTGTCTCGAACATTTTTATGTAAATTATTAATAAGTAATAGCATGGTTTCTCGTGAAGTTTGGATAAACATGCACTCGTGAGTTTTTCAAAGACCTCAAATAGCACTCGTCCTTCCGACTCGTGCTATTTTGAGGTCTCTGAAAAACTCACTCGTGCATGTTATATCCAAATTGCACTCGAAACCATGCTATTACATATACTAATAATATACATAAAGATATTACTCGACTGTGATTGGTTGATTTCAGTGCAGTTAATCCCAAACAGCAGTGCAATTTTCTGTAATCACAGTGCAATTTTCTGTAATCACAGTGCAATTTTTTGTAATCACAGTGCAATTTTCTGTAATCACAGTGCAAAAATCTGTAACAAACTGATCTGATTGGTGGAAAAACATTGTGATGATTAAATCAACCAATCAGTTTAAAGCAGTTTACTTTTTAAGAAGTAACGGTCACAGATTGCTTCAAAACAAAACAAACATGGCGCCGCGCTACACAAAGTAAAAGTTGCCTTAATATGTTGCTAAAATATGGCTTTTATCTTTATTTTTAAATGGAAAAGCATTTACCTTAAACAAGACTAACAATATTATACACAGTTGAGTGGAATTTTCAAGCTGTTAGCGTTGTATAATGTGATAAAACAAAGCCAGGAAAACTTTGCCAGTGGAATGTTCGCTATATAAAACGCGTAAGTTAAAAAACAATTGTCTCGAATATTTTTATGTAAATTATTAATAAGTAATACACATACACACACACACACACACATATTTATTACTAGTTACAGATATATTTACATGAATTTTCACTAGCCGCAAGTAGCCAAGCTAATCGGGGCGGGTAGTGATATAATGTAATTATGAGAGGGGGATAATAGAAATGAGTGAATTACAAGATAAAGAACTTAATAAGTTAAATAATTGCAGGTTTACAAAGTTACAAGCAGAACTGCATGCTGAAGCCAATATATTTGCTTATGTAAAGTTAATAAATTGGTAATATTGAAATCTCGCTAAAGTGCTAAATATAGGAATGAATTTGAACACATAATTATATAACTACAAAAATTGAGATTATACAATCAATTACAGGATGGTTTGGTTTCAATAGGCAATCTGTTTATTATCAAGGGCAGATCAATGTGGTCATTTTCCTTCTGTAGAATTGTCATAAGTGTTTTGTTTAATTTGGTTTTGAAGGTATGTTTCCTTTGCGCACAGAAACTTGGAGAAATACTATTCCAGATAAAAGAACCAAATCGAGAAAATGAGCGTTTTTGGATTTCTAATCGTGAAGAATTGATGTAAAAATTCTTGTTCGCAGCTGCTCTCGTATTATATCTATGAATCTCGCATGTTTTGGTAAATAATTCTTGAAGAGCAATTGGTGCAACTTTATTAGAAATATCATGTAACAGGTTAGCAGATTCTCTAATGTATAGCATGTTGATAGGGAGGGTGTTTGAAGAGATAAATAGAGGGATAGAGTGTTCACGATTGTCTTTAAAATAGATAAGTCTCAGCACACGTTTCTGGAGTTTGAGAAGTTTGTCCGTATATTTTTTGGCTGCATATCCCCGTGCAACAACTCCATATGATAGATATGGCTGAATCAGTGACTTATATATGTTCATTATGGTATGGAATGGGACATAATGTCGGAGTTTTGCAATGATTCCAACAGTTTTGCTAATCTTTAGTGCAATGTAATTAATGTGTTGTTTCCAAGACAAATTACAATCAATGAGAATGCCAAGATATTTTATATAATACTTACTTTCGAGAGGTATGTATTTTTTCGAATTATTGTCAAAAAGTTTAATAGTAGGCTGATAGGTCATTGGTTTTTGCGATGGTCGAAAGATTACAAAATTTGATTTTTTTATATTTAATGTTAGTTTATTAGCATTTAGCCACTTACAAACTTCCCTCAACTCGAAATTTACCACTGATTCTAAAGTTTTTAAACTTTTGTTAGCATATAATAGGTTGGTATCGTTCGCAAAGAGAAAGAAATTAAATACCTTAGATGAATTACAAATATCATTTATGTAAATCAGAAAAAGAAGAGGTCCAAGAACAGAACCCTGAGGTACTCCACATAGGGTCTCCTCTTTATCAGATATACAATTTCCTACAAGAGTGGTTTGCGAGCGGTTTTTCAGGTAAGAGGAAAACCAATCATTGACAACACCTCTTATACCATAGTACTTTAATTTGCATAACAGAATGTCGTGATCGACAGTATCAAACGCTTTTTTTAAGTCGATAAATATTCCACAAGAGAAAAGTTTATTATCCATGTTACTTTGGATTTTATTGATAATATCAAGAAGAGCATGTTGTGTAGAATGTTGTTCGCGAAAACCATATTGAGAATCACTAAAAAATTTCTTAACTTAAGAAAGTTTTTCAATCGCGAGTTCATTAAGACTTCGAAAATTTTATTAAAAATAGATAAAAGTGATATAGGGCGGTAATTGTTTGGATCGGTATCTACACCATCTTTGTAAATTGGAATAATTTTTGCAATTTTTAATTTTTTGGGGTAGATTCCTCGCTCAATAGAAGTATTAATAATGTCAGCTAGAGGTTTGCTTAGAATATTTTTTGCGCATTTTAAGATACGTGTAGGGCAGGAATATAAGCCATACGACTTGTTAATTGGTAATAAGGTAATTTCAAGTTCTATCTCGGATGGAGTTACTGGAAAGAATGCAAATGAGCCATGCTGAGAGGCTATATTTTCGTAATCGGTGTTCTGTTTTGGGAGATAATTCAGAGAAATGTTTTTCCGAGTGAGGCATCGTAGCTGCTAAACGATGACCACAAGAAGCAAAATGATTATTCAAAATCTTAGATATTTTTTGGGGATCGTGAATTAATTGGCTGTCAGTGGCACATTGCGCCATCGCATTAATTTCCTTTTTACGTTTTTTGCCACCTCCAATTAAATCCCTTATTCCATCCCAGGTCTTTTACATATTGTTTAGATTTGAACTAAAGTATGCATGGTAATACAGTCTCTTGCTTGCT